CGCTCTTCTTAACGCACCTTAAAATAATGATAATGAAAATCTAAACTACAACGGAGGTAGGTCTTCATTATATGTGCTGTATGTAGCCATGAACATCAACTAAAAGGTGAAACTGCAGCTTAAGTTCACCAGCACTTTAGGGCTCAGCTAGCAAAGTAGACAAGAATATCTGGAGCTCGGGACATGTCCATAACACACATCCAAAGCCACTGGAGAAGCAGTTAGCAGCCTGCACTGAACAACACTGATATCATGTCGATATCTTGATTTGGTAGATTAAAGTTGGCTCAGTTCCTCCTATTTTTTGCAGCCCCACTTGGTTAAAGACTGAATTACCCGCCTTTGCATCCTCCAATTTCCTGCCCCACTGTATGATTTGCAATCGTTTCCCCAGTGTGACAGTCTGATGTGCCTTTTTTTGACCTTAGACGAGGCCAGAGAGCATGGAAGGCAAAGACGTCCACGGCCACCTGTCCCAAATGGCAGCTCTTTGCCATTCTTTGCCTCTTCTTTACTGGAAGAGGCAAAACGGATTCGAGCTCTTCCAAGGAGAAGCCCCTGGCAGAGGTGGGTTAAGGGGAGCATTTGGACAGAGCAGCCAATGTGGCAAGACCTCACCTCACTTGAATCTTCCTGCTGGTTGATAACAGCTAGTGCATCCTCCGCAGCCTGTCGCTTGGCTTCGGCAACCGTGCGCTCCATTTTAGCTCTCTCTGAAGTGATCATGTCGTGAGCTTTCCGCTCAGCCTCCGACACTGCCTTCTGCAGCTCCGCCATCGCCTGCCGCTTCACTTCGTTGACCGCTTCCTCTGTAAATGAGAAACGGGGAGAAATTTTCAGTTTGGTGCATGGTTACATAGGAGTAATGCATGAAAGCCACAGATGCTCTATCACACTGTGCGCCTTCGTTTTGAGAAGAAGGGCAAAGATGGACTTGTTCCTCAAAACCCTGCAGATGCTTCCCCATGCCTGGACGTTCTCAGAGATGCACAGTGCTCATGGTGGAGAGTAGAGCTTTGATTCATGGCTGTTATCTTTTTGCAACCAGGTATTTCTATCTCTGCTTTATATTTCCGTGACTTTTTTGATGAGTTTATTTGCAAACTTGGTTTGGTAGAGCACTACATTAATGAATGTGTTTGGTAAAAAATCATATTATTTTGGGCTTTTTCATATTTGTATGTTTAAGCTCTGGAAATTTAGAGCAAATTTAGAGTCACTATCCAGTTATTCTGTATGTAAAGATTAGAGACATGCCTGCAAAGAAAGACCCAAGAATTTATTAAAAAATCACTGCTGTAATTTTAGAATCCAAAATTAAAATTTATTTATGAATATTGTTTTGATCTACCGATCTCCATTTGAGATCCACATGTCTGTTGTGAAGAAGCTACATCCTGATTCAGCAGAGCTCCTGAGCACAGCAAAGCCAAGAAGACCTAAGCACGCAGTTAAAACCGAATACGTCCGTAAATGCTTTGTTAAATTTAAACCTTTCCATTTTTGTAAAATAAGTCAATATATGCACCTTCTTCTGTATATACTAGTGCCATATCTTTTATTCCAGAAAACAGGAATTGTCACAAATTAGTTATTTGAGTTTTGATGCAGGAAGAATGCAAAGATTTTACTAATGAACAGTCTTTTAATTGACAACTAAAACAAGTAATTTCTTTTTTTTTTTAATTAACTGCTCTAATTAACAAGGAAACCATCCTCCCCCTGAATTAGTTTATCTAATTTTCATCTTTATTCAAAGCAAAATGACAATGATTAATTGAAAATTTAATAAGCAGTAATTATTAACTTGGCAAACCTAGTACCAATTAACACTCTATTAAAACTAATTATGACATGTTTCATTCAAGTGTTTGTACTTAATTGTTTCACCCACTTTAAAACCACCTTAATTAAATGTTCTGTTTAATTAAAAGCATAGATTTCTAATAAAAATGTTTTAGTGCAGATTAAAATGTAAGTATTACAACTATGTTATGTGTTTGAAATTTAGGCTGTATTACATGCATTTGTGTGCATGTACATGTGCATACACATTACCGTACATACAAATACCAAGTCAATAACTGTCTTAATGCTTTAATCACTCAAGTCTCTGAATTTCTCATTAAAAATAACAGTCTTCATTTTAAACTATTATTGCATGATACCAAATAAAAAGTATGAGCAAAATCCGAATTTTAATGTATGCACTCGGATTAAATTAAAAGGACAAAATAGCTCCATTACTCTGCATGTGCGTGCTAATGTGTATGTGTGACATATATGTGTTTTGACTGAAGTTTTCAAGAGGGGAAAAATTTAGAAATAAAACTTATGCCTTTATTTTTATGAGGCTGAAAATACGCCTTATATTACCCTACCATAAATGTTGTTAAGGGGAAAGCCTCAGGAGAGGAAAAAATCATACCCTTCAACCACACAGCCAGGTCTTAATTTACTTTGAATATTCAAGGTGAATTAAAATTCTATCTAAGTGGCAATCCAGGACAATAATTTTTGCTTACGATCAAAGCTGCAGCTAGACTAATTGTATATGCAAATCAAGCAATTTATATTTAAATTATGCATTCCTATTCTAGTCCCACAGGCACATAGAGATCAGCAAAGGGAATTGGTAGGACATTTGCAAGGTGCTTGAATATTTATTACCAACTGCAAACATTCACTGATTGAAGAAAAAAAATATACACAGGCAAACATACAGATGCAATTTTATTATCTTTTTCATAAAAACGAGGCAACTTAAATACAGACTTTTTGTGTCTATGAACTGCAGTTATTAACAAAGTGGTTTTCTTTGAGAAAATCTGTATTCGTGCTGATATTTGCAATGAATAAAATGATCTTTAAATGGCATGATGCACTTTCATTACATTATAAAAGCTTATTCTTTTGTGGAAATGTTTGCAGTTGTTAGAATTGTCAATTTAAACTATCATTTTAAAAACAAAGAAGCATAACCCAACATTTTCCAGAGACTTCTACTAATTTCTTGAGATTTTTCGGTTCTACATAATCTGCTTTTTTCCAAGCAAACACAGAAATTGCAGGTTATATTCTAACTTCTGCATTGCGTAAGTTTCATGCAAAGCTTCTGAAAGTGTGAAGGTGTTAAAAGCACTAACGAAGGCACATGCTGAGGAAAAATGAAAGTTATTTTTTAATTAGCATAACTATGAATTATACTTCAGTGTTTCCATTATATCTGAAAGCAGAATTGTGTAGTGATGTACTAAATGTGAAAAAAGAGTTCAAACACATTCTGGTTTTTTTCCCTCATAATGCAACATCATTATTTCAGCATCATATGAACTCTTGACACCCAACTTACTAAAAATAGAAAAAATATCCTATTACTTATTTTCTTCACATTTCCTTTAAAAACATGCTTTCGGTATCTACAGACATTTTATAGACATTAAAATCCATTAAAAAAAAAAAAGCCAGGAATGATACTGGCATAGAATACAGCTTCTTTTCCAGAAGGGAGGAAGATTGATTGGATTCAAACAACGGAAAACATGAAGCAAGAAGCTTTAAAACAAAATGTCTAAGATGCACGTCACACACATCCTCTATTTTCTCCTAATGCGAATCATTCTTGGCATAAATTCTCTTTGTCAATGTGTCTTCAGGAGTGCAACTGAAATCTTCCTTCGCTTTGACTGATGCCTGAGAGAGGTCCCAGTCAGCACGCTGTTAAGTGGGACACCTGGTATGGAATAGGGTTACTCAGTGTGACCGGGGTCTTTGGGGTTGACTCGGTGGAGACACCAGCTCATCGAGCAGCTCATGGAGCAGCTCATGGAG